GAAATGGAAGATGATGATGAATGGAAGAGAAAAGAACAGAGAAATTCCAAAGCAGCGATCTCTGTCTATTCCAAATGAAAAAGAATCAGAAATGGAAGGAGGACCACCATAGCCCCCAGCTGATGGAATTCAACTTTGCATACACCAGTTTTTGACATCTCAAAGCCTCTTCACCATTACAGCAATAAATATAGAGACATTTAGTAGATGGACCCTGCACTTTAATGTCATGTCCTTCTCTAAAAGATTTATTTTGCACTTTGGTCCAACAAGCCACCTACAGTATTGGTTAAGCTGATATTTCCAGAGCTTTTATTGCTTCCTCCCACAGTTCAGTCATCTTTCTTTTCTGACACTGACCTGTGCAGGTCAAGTACTTATCTGATTTCTTCTCTCTCCATAATGCAGGAGAGCACATTATAGGCTCTTAGTTATAAATATTCTACACTGAAGTCACTTGGGCTTTCCTAGCACTATGCTATTCCTTAAATAGAGCTTGTCTTTATTTGTCTTTCACACAAGTAGTAAACTCAAGAATGCTTTCAGATAAAAGTTATATTCCTAGCTTCAGAATTTCTCTCTATTCATTCTTTCTGCTGTGTAAAACTATCTGCTATCCCACAAGGGACTATTTGGCCCAGAGAAGAAAAGAGATTTAAAGAGTAGGCAGAAAAACAAAAATTCTGTTTTTATTCTAAGAACTGATGGGTAGTAAGATTTATTAGATGGGATGACTATTGGTGATTCATCAAAGACAGCTGACTTGATGGAGATGCTGAGCAATATAAATGGCAGAAAATGATGTCTTTGAAAGGAGCTGCTGAATACTCTTGGGGCAGCACATGTTCTGGAAGAACAAAGGTCAACAGAAACCATGAAGAAGCAGTCTCACATAGGTGGGGAGGAAAGGAGGATGCACCTGGTACCTCCAGGTTGAATGAGGGGAATGAGAAATTAGGGAGTGAAGGAGGTGAAGCTGATGAGACAGGAAGCAGAAATTCTGAGACCCATTAGATTGTGTAAACATAGAACAGGTGCATTCCAGTTTCATGGCTGGGAAAAAATGACCATTATTCTATTGACCCAAAAAAGGTGCAAGAAAGGGCTTATGATGTGGGCAGATTTATTTCTATGTTCTATATCAGATAAATCTTCTACATTATTTGACTATTTTCTTTGTCTTCAGTAAAACAACTAACCTAGTAATAGTCCTTGAAGTTTCTGCTATTAACTAATATGTGAATGCAGAGATGAATTTGGGGAAGAACAGAGATGGATAGTTGATACTTGAAGCCTCCCTTTAACTTCCTGTTACCTAAATACTTTTTCTTTTTGATTTTCAGTGCTCTCAGAAGAATCATCACTCAGCTGCCTCAACATCTTTTTGTCAGGCATACTGCAGCTGAGCTGCAAAGATCCAACTGACAACTAGAAGATGTGTATCATGTAGAACAGTGTTGGTCAACCTTGGAGACTGGAAGATGGGTGGACTTCAACTCCCAGAATTCCCCAGCCAGCAACGCTGGCTGGGGAATTCTGGGAGTTAAAGTCTACCCATCTTCAAGTCACCAAGGTTGACCAAGATTGATGTAGAAGATGATATCAGATGATGTCTGTATGGAATTGTTGCTTTCTTCAGATAGACCTTGACTTACAGTACAACCTCAACTGAGCCCAAAATTTCTTTTGCTGAGAGAGTTAAGTGAATTTGCCTCGTTTTACGACCTTTCTTGCCACAGTTGTTAAATGAGTCACTGCAGCCATTAAGTTAGTAACACGGTTGTTAAGTGAATCTGGTTTACCCACTGACTTTGCAAAAGGTGATCACATGATCCAGGTACACTGCAGCCATCATAAATATGAGTCAAGCATCTAAATTTTGATCAAGTGACCATGGGATTCTGCAACTGTTGAGAGTGTGAAAAAAGTCATAAGTCACTTTTTTAAAGTGACATTGTAACTTCAAACGGTCACTAAATGAACTGTTGTAAGTCAAGGACTACCTGTAATTGGATTTTCTGGTATTTCTCTGCAGACATTTATTGGATTTTTGCTTCCCAATTATAGTATTCTATTCTGTTCTTCCCTTCCTAATCCTTCATAACCAGTGAGGAAGGAGGTGAATACTAGAAATTACCAGGGCAGCTACTAGGCTTCTGCTTCTTGGACCTATTGCAACTGCTGCCAAAGCAACAGCTCAGTTGGGAGTAACAGCTGTCAGGCCCAGCCCAACAATGACATAGAACAATCCAGCTAAAGTTCAGTTTTTTATTTGTTCACTCCAAATGGACAGAATTTGTGCTGAACTAAACATATGCCAATAGTCCTCCACTTATGACTGGTCACAGTGAATGTTCAAAGTTATGACTGACCCCTCTCCCAAAGGACCTGGTTTTGAAGTTCTGAGAGCTACCTCCGGGTCATGTGACCACATTTCATGCACTTGGCAACCGGCCCGCATTTATGACTGCAGTGTCCCACAAACACATGACCGAAATTTATGATGTTTTTGCCAAAAACGGCATTTACTTCCAGTTTTTGGCCACCAATAGACTCCCACCGGCTGGTACGCTCTCATAGAGAGGGGCTCCTCCGGGTGCCGTCGGCCAAACAATGTCGACTGGCGGCCCCTAGGGGGAGAGCCTTCTCTGTGGGGGCACCTACTATCTGGAATGAACTACCCCCGGAGATACGGAGGATCCCGGATCTGCGCACCTTCCGCTGTGCTCTCAAGACCTTTTTATTCCATCAGGCGGGCCTGGCCTAATCTTTTCCCTCTTTTTTAATTATGTAAATTTTAATCAGTTTTTAAATGATTGGGGTGTTTTAATTTGTCTGGGCTAAATTGTCTAATTCGATTTTATTCTGTTTTTAAATTTTGTATTTATGTATTTTTACTGTTTTGGCTGTTCACCGCCCTGAGTCCTTTGGGAGTAGGGCGGTATATAAATCAAATAAAGATAAAAGAAAGATAAAAGATGGGCTGAATCTTTTTAATTCTCTTCTTCCCACAACCTGACAAATTGGGACACCATGATTCCCAAAATTGAAAGGTAAAAAATATTTGGTACACCCCAAAATAGGCTTTACACTACAGATACATCTTGGGATATGACTGATCATTTAGTGACCAATTGAAATTACATTTAACTACCCGAAAGCTACTTATGACCAGTTTCAAAGTTCTGATGTTTCCTTCCTGTTACCACATATTGGCTGCTTGGCAGTTGGCCTGCATTTACAGCCATTTGCAGAGCCCTGTGGTTAAATGACCGTGATTTGCAATGTTTTTGCCAGAAACTTGTGTTTACTTCTGCTTTCTGGCAAAATCTGTCTCATAGTAAACAATGGATTCCCTTAACAACCATGATGTTTGCTTGACGACTGCCGTGTTCGCTTAACCACCACAAAAAAATTGTAAAATTGGGTCTGGTATATGGTGACGCACTTTACAACTGTCACAACTTAAGGTTGTAATTGTGGAGTTTGATTACAGTCGTAATACAAGGACTTCCTATATGTAATTATTACTTATTTATTGTAATTTTCTCTTCCCTTTCCTCTGAAAAGTTTAAGAAAATTTGAAAAAAAATCCTCTCCCAAGAAACCCAATAAAAATGGAGGTCCCAACTTCCATGTGCCATTAGTTCATCCAGTGTCTCTTTGGGTTTGGCTATCAAGTTTGTTCATTTCTGACTGTAGAAGGTCAGGGAGATTACCTTGAGGGGAAAAGGCAAGAATTATTATCTAAGCAATGAAGGTTGAAACATTCCTTAAGTCGTCCTGGGAAAGAGAATAGTATTAGAAGAGACTCAGGCAGGTTCATCTCTGATTCACTGGGGTATAAGAGAGAGAGAAGGTAGTTCTCTCAGCTACTGTACAGTACTGTACTGTACTGTGGCATATCCCAATAGTATAGGATAGAGTCAGTTTCTGATCTCATCTACTTGTAGAGCTGACAATGGTGTAAATTTTTGTGAATAATAATCTGTTTTATCTAACGCAAAATATATTTGCTATTTTTCCCTTTTTCCCTAAAAGTTTGCTATTTTTCCCTTTTAAGATACGATACTACTTTGTTGTTTTTGCTGCAAAAAAAATCAACATACTGGAAATTGCTATCTCATGGTGTTCAGACTTTCTAATTAAGAACTACCTATTGTACTCTGCCTTGAACTCCTTGCAGAAAACAAAAATGCATCCACATAATTTATTGTGCTAAAGAAAGGACTTATTTTACAAGTTTAGAAAAAACACAATGACTCAGTCATATAAAATGTGATAAGCTACGCCTTGCGTAACACCACAATTTATGGAATAAATGATAAATATATAGAAACTTCAACTCTTTGCTGCTAATGATTGACATGTAAGGTGTTCACAGCCCTAATCTCATTCACAACCATAAATTATAATATACAAAACATTAGTGTTATATAGCTAAATAAATCTAAATCATATACAAGTAAGCCACACTTCGTCTGAACACAGCCACTGTAAAAACTGGGATCTCTTCCAGTTGCTTAAACTAATTTCTTTTTAAGGCTATTTTGCTACTAATTTTCACAATGCTTGAAATTTCATTCAGGTTTTCCCAAGCTTATTTTATTTTTAAACTGTTTCGCACCTGTATATGTTGAAGCCTACCTGACTCTCCACATCTCCAGGCCTAAAGAAACTCACTGGAGGAATTCCTAGCTATTGGAATGTCATTTGAGGAGGCAGCTGGAAAGGTGTTTTTTTCTGAACGGGCATACTTTAAAGGCAGGGCTTCGTAGGTTAAAAAGAGCCACCCAACTCTGTAGTTAATAAGGGCAAATGAAATTACGTGCCTTCCAGATAAACGCAGAGCTCAGGCTTCACTCTCGGTTAGGAATGAAGGGCCCTATAAGAAAGGTCTGAGGACCCGGAGAACGAGGTCAGCCGCTGCTGCCAGAGAGAGGCGGAGCGAGGCTGCCCCGGGCTTTTGGCGCGCTTCTCTGCCAGCCGCGCCCGTTCCCGACCCTGCTGTGAAAGGGCGGGCGGCGGCGGTAGAGCATCCCTCGCCCTCTCCCGAGGGACGGAGACAAGCGCGCGGCCGCGCAGAATTCCGCCCTTCCTGGAAAGAGCAGCGGCCACTTTCACGGACTCTCGCGTGTCCGACTTTCTTTTCCACACTCACGGCTCGCCCCGCAGCACCGAGAGACCGACGCAAGGGCGCCCCCACCCCGGACTGGCGAATTCCGTGCCCTCGAGGCAGGGAGATGGGTATCAGTGCTGCCCCGGGACTCCTGGCTCTGGTGGCGCTTTCGACGCTCGGGCGCCTCGCCGGAGCGGGTTGCGTCGAGGAAAGGCGCTGCTGTCCCGGGCGGGATCCGACGTGCACCGCCACCGGCTGGCGCCTAGACAGAATTTACGGGACCTGCTTCTGCGACGAGGCGTGCGAACAGACCGGCGACTGTTGCCACGACTACGCCCAGGCGTGCCCAGGTAGGCTGGAAGAAGGGACGGCGCTCGACGGGCGCCTGAAAGCACCTGCCGCCGAGCGAAGTTCCACGCGGGGGTGCTTTGCCTCCAAAACACTCCTAGCTGTAGTGGGGGTTTCAGTGGTCCTAGAAATAGAGGAAACTATGTGGTTCCCCCCCCCATGTCTTCGAGGATAACTAACTTTTGCTTTTGGAGTAAACTGCATCTCTTAAACTCCAGATAGGTGGCTACTTCTTGGCAAGTGCAGGGTAGGTTTACACAACTTTGGAATCTCGACAGCAGAACCACTGTCTTCACAAAATGTAATGCCAAGCGGTTATTCCCCAATAGCTTGAATGATAAATTGTGACTTGTTCTGCTCTAGTCTGTCATGGGAACTCAGCTTTCCCTTCCCACTTATTCCTGCTCCCCAAAGGAAGGAAAGTTCTGTAAAGAAAACTTGGTGCAAAACTTAAACCCACCCACTTTTCTTGACTTTTCATGAATATGAAAATCCAAAGGAAGGACAAAAATGTAAGGAAGGGCCTCAAGCAAAATTCAATGAGTATCTGGAGGGCAGGTTTAAACTTTCAAAATGAAGGCAATGGATTCCTTTGCGAATTGAATCAAGTTATTAAAAAGTGTGGAACTATGTATGAATGCAATAACTTTGTTGGATTTGCAATTTTTTGGAGTGGGAGGGAAGAAAAGTAACCATACAGATTCTCTATAAAATCCTTGTGCAGTTTTAATAGATAACAATGTCACTTCTACGTAAGATATAAATGCTTTGTAAATGCAACAGAAGGAATTTATTCAAAATTTAAATAAAATGGATACTGGATCCCAGAATAACAAATGTCATCAGTGCTATATAAAATGCAACTGCATTCAGAGAATTTCAAAATCATGCTATCCTTTGTACCCAAAATCATGGTAGATATATTGAAAATTGCCTTTCCTACAAATTAAATGTGCTCTCAAATCCTTCTGTTTCTTACTCTGTCAAATTACTTGATTTGTGAGTTCCACTATGACGGGGGCCATAATGGACTTCAAAAGACCCACCTGTCTTTTTACCTCTAGCTCTCTCTGTATTTCATGATAGTCAATCTTATAGTCATTTAAAAATAAAAATAGGGAAGATCCAAACACATAATAAGGATTGCAGCCTTAGCTGTAGAATTCAGTTCTTGATAATGTAGTATTGAATAGTCAGTGTATGCATGAAGTTTTGGTTTCTGCGTTTTTAAAAGTACATTTTTTTAAAAAAAAATTGATTTATATGCCGCCCTTCTCCGGAGACTCAGGGCAGCTTACAATGTGTTAAGCAATAGCCTTCATACTTTTGTATATTTATACAAAGTCAGTTTATTGCCCCCACAAACTGGGTCAATTTACCTACCTTAGAAAGGATGGAAGGCTGAGTCAACCTTGAGCTTGGTGAGATTCGAACTTACAGTAATTGCAGACAGCTGGTGTTAATCACAATGCTATTAGTCTGCTGAGCCACCAAGATCCAAGCTACAGAAACAAAAACCTCTTGCCCCCTCATTGGAACAATTTTTTAAAAAGAACATAAAGCATCTTTTTGCATGGCTGGAGAACCAGGAACTGATATAAGAATATGCCCGTCAAATGAGAATCCTAGAGGTAATTTTTGCAGCTCAAAGGCAAATGGAAGGAAACACTTTTTAGTTTGTATAATATTTCTCAATCATGAATTCCCCTTGCACTGTTGTCACAAACCTTTAGGGGCTGTCTGTTTTACCAGCATCTTGGACTGGTGTGCTAGCTTTGTTTCTGCTCTAATTGGTCCATTGTGAAATAGATTATATGGATTAATCTGTGGAGCACGGACGAAGGATCCTGTATCAGAGAAGAGCAGAATCTGATTGGCAAGTGGCTTCTCTGAATTCATCCATGCATGGTCATGAAATCATTTAGACAGGATGCATTTAATCAGGACTGGATGTTAGCTGGAGTTAGACAGAAAGCAAAGGTAGAATTTGGGGCAGCGGATTTCCCTCTTAATGGTACTATGGAGACATTTGTATGTTACAGTTGCTTGCACAAGGAACTTAAACCTCCTTTTTATCTGTTCTTCTCTTCCCAAAATTATTTTTTGTGCTGTCACTTTTTTTTTGTTAAAAGACAAAGTTCCAACTTTTCACTTTTGTTCCAATTTTAATTTTTTATCAAATGTATTTTAGCCATGCTCGACATCTATAAATGTCAGTAAACAATAACTTGGCTTTATGCCTGTCTGCCAAACAAATCCTCAAATTGTTTTTCTCTTTCTTCCATGAGCTACTCGTTTAACTGAATGAAAACTGTCTTGTTTTAGCCGAGGTTGAATTTTCAGGAGGCATTTCAAGCAGCTGATGAATTTGTGACATCAGAACCGAAAAATGGGACTTTGGCATGCATATGTTTGGGAAATAGCAAATTTAGGATTAGAGTACAAATATTAACTAGATGCATATATTAACACATGCAAATATACATACAGGAATTTTCAACTAGTTTATAAGGTAATGTTCATCATCATCATCTATAAGGTGATGTTATATAAACTATGCTGAGTGTCACTTTAATCTCCTTTCTGGAGGATCTCCTTTCTGGCATCTGCTTCCTTCTAAATTTTCTATAAATTGCAAAAAAGTTCAAGAGTTTCTTGCCATGTAGGCTTTTGAGAACCCAACAGCAGTACAAGTAACACGTGCTAGCTCTCACTCTAAATTTCCAAACACCTTTATTTGCTTTGAAACAAGAGAAAACAATGAAAATTGCTGAATGCACTGTAAGCCGCCCTGAGTCTCCGGAGAAGGGCGGCATATAAATCAAATTAAAAAAAAAAAAAAAAATGAAGGACTTCTTCAATAGCTTACCTTCTTCCATTTTAGTATCATACCATATAAAAATGAGATGGGTGGCCATATAAATTGAAGGTAAAGGAAATCATTACAGGCCCATCAACCATGCCGATATTTTATTGCTTGGTGTTGTAGCTCCTATCCTATGATTCAAAAGGTGGACTTTGAGATGATCTGAAAAATGTATGTATTGATATAGCTACCACTTTTTAGAGACTTCTTATGTATTATAGGTGATAGGCTGAAAAAAATGGGATTAGAACATATGAATATGAAACTGTAAAATTATTTTATGGGCAAGAATATTTTAAGCTATGGTTTGGGTATTATTTTGGAAAAGAAAGGAGGAAAGTTATTGAAGTAGAGGGCCAGATGGATAGGCAGGTGAAAAAATGCTTTCTAAAGCAACTTTATTTCCACAATAGTTTTAAAAATGACAGATCAGTGTTAACTTCTGATCTTCTTAATCTATTTCTTCAGGAAAAAGCAGGTCGTGTGACCTACTAAATTAAGTTTCGCTAAATGTTTATAGAGAAAAGATAAAACTTTGACAGTAACAAATGACTTCATGAGTTTCGTTGTGACAGTATTTTTATAATTCTTTTGCAGCTGTTTCGTGTGTTGTGGGGGAATGGAATCACTGGAGTGGCTGTGCAGAACAATGTAAACCCACCTTCCGGATGCGTACACGTATTATACAACAAGAGCCAAAAAATGGTGGGGAGCCTTGTCCTCCGTTGGAAGAAAAAGCTGGCTGCCTGGAATACTCAACTCATGAAGGGAAAGATTGTGGAGATGGTACACATGCTTCCCACTTCTCTCTCTCACACACACAATTTGCATCCTTATCAAACGGCTTCCAGTGTCTTATAAACTTGTTTAATCCATTGTCTCTAATCAGAGTGGTTAATCTTGCCATCTCTGCTAATTCAATCTTCTACAGTGAACATCCCCCTTTCCTTCCAATACTTAGCATATACAATCCTCGCAGCGGTCACCATGTAAAGAAATAAGGCCCCCAAATGTTTTTCAGTTGATTTGTCCATAATACCTAAAAGAAAAGCTTCAGGTTTCATTAATATTTGTAATTTAAATATTTTCTGCATTGTTAATATTGTATTTATCTAGTATGATTTAGCATACTTTCAAGACCACCACATATTGTTAGAATGTACCTGGATTTTGGTTGCATTTCCAACTTTTGGGAAATCCCTTTATACATTTTTGCAGTCTATCTAGAGCCAAATACCAACAGTTCATCATCATATAAAAATCTTCTTTCAAACTGTAATTCACAATGAATTTTAACCATTGGTGCATACATTCTGCCATTGGTCTAGAATTATATTGTAACCAATTTTTTTTACCTATTTTACCATCTTTAACAAATTCATCTTCCAGATTTATCATAACTAACATTTTTTAAACTTCAGCAATCAGATAGTTATCTCCAGAACATACATTCATGTCCAATTCAAATTTAACTCCTGCAGACACAAAACTTTTTTTTATTAAGTTTAAATTTTTCAAAAACTCTAAATAATTAAACCAATCACAAACAAATCCTTCACTTACTAATTGTTCTCTTGTTTTTATTTTCTTCAAATATTAGTAAGTCTCGATATGTCATCCATTTGGAATCTAATAGCATCTCTTTCCTGTGTAATGCTTCATGGGTGATAGCCAGTCAGTCAATCTTCTGTTATATTTCTACCATATATGCCCAATTGATTGTTTAATAACATGAGTCTGAAAACCAGGTTTAACTTTTATCTTATTATACCAAAATAAGCATGTCACCCCAATCCTAAATCAGAACCTTCAAGCTCTAATAAACTTGAGTTTTTAAAATTATCCAATCTTTTAACCATACCAAACAACAGGCATCATAATATAATGTGGTCTAGTAAACCCAGAACTCTTTTTTTAGCATTCTGTAGGAGCTTATAGTTCATTTGTAGTTTTTTGTTTTGCCACTTCTACATCCCTGTATTGAGAAGATAAGACTTTGATATTGAATATGCTGAATTCTGTTCTTTAAAAAAGGCAGGATCTCCTATCCTCACACTTATCATCCCATTGATTGAAATACCTGACTCTAATTTCTCTTCAAATGAACTGATAATCCTAGAAGTTCATATATTTTTGCCACACAGAAATATGTTGATTTGGATGGTTTTCGTTAATGAATAAATGAGCAATACATTTTTACTTATTTGCTTAATTAAGTTCTCTAAACTAGGATTATCTAGTTTTAGGACTTGTGTAGAGAACTGATCATATTTTAGATCATGTTTATGCAGAAATATTGAATATTCAAATGGGTTCACAAAGTTTTAAGCACCACTATATACCAAAGGATGGAGCAGGCAGTTTTAACTTTGTCCAGTTTTATATTATTTTATACAGCTTCTACTCTCAGTTAGTTAAATAGCAACACCAGCTTTACAAATTTTATTTTCATAATAATTCTGTTCTTCCCAGTTCCTGCATTCATAACTACTTCTGAATATAGTAAAGAGAGAAAAAAGACAGCTGTACATCCAAGGTGGTCTTCAGAAACAGAAGATTCTAGGTAATTACAACTAAAACTTTTACCAGCTTCTCTGGAGATAAATTTCTTTGAATTGTGTTGTATTTGTCTCAGAGTCAAAACATGTATATACAATCTTAACATTTAATATACATATGGATATTTCAAATTGGAAGAAGGTAATTTTGTATAACTATCCACACAAGATAGATTAAAACAATTTCTGTACTAAAACTATAATTCTGAAAAATGCCATTGCTTTTCTTCTTCACACATAATTTTCTTCAGTTCGTTTGGTGTCAACTGCATTATTTGTTGAAAAATATGGTTTTGTAGCACTGCCTATAATAAAGTGAAATAAAGCAGTATTTTTTGCAAAGCATGAACAATTATATATTTTTTTCTACAAAAAGCCATTTTAATGTTTATCTAATTTAAAATAAGGTAAAAATTTTAAAATAAAATGATACATTTTATATGTAAGCTTTAAACACTTTTTTAAAAAAATCCTGACTTTAAAAACCCACATATGGGAATTGTAGTTCCCAATGCTAGTAACAAGCCCAATGAGCTTATCTCTAGTAGAGTCATTGGCTTCCTCACTATCTTTCATGTATTATAGAGATGGGTAAACTCTGGCTGTCTAGCTAAGTATGATCTTTATTATTTGCAAGTGGCTTTTGAAATTAGACAATCGCATACTATTAGTAAAGGCAATCTGTGCATCCTGATAGTCTACTGCTGAGTAGAGAAAGGCAAAAAGAAAACAAAAGAGGTATAGAAAGACAAATGTGTTTTATTAAGAAAATGGCTGGTCTCGCTATTGGCAGATGTGATTCAATGAAGAGAAAGTTGCTCACTCTGATATTTTCAGGATTGTGGCCTAAGGAGTTCAATCTCCCCCAATTTTTTTTAGTAGTCTTAATTACACATTAGAGTCTGAGCCATAGCTGCTAACGATTACTTTTAATTTTGGGGGAAACTACTTTGGTTAACGACTTCATAGATTATATATGCTATAATTACCTTTCAGATTTATTCTTGCATTATTAACAAGCACTTCCTCCCCAAAGGAGTTACTGTGTGGAATTTAAAACAGAATCATTGTCTCCTTACTGCTCTATGGAAACTCGCCCGTATGCTCGATGGATGCAGTACCTTCGAGCAGGCTATACAGTATGTGTAATCTGCCAGGAGCCAGCAATGCACAGAGATAGCTATCGTTGTCCTGGAGATGGAACTGATACTGATAGGTAAGAACTAAATTTCTTATCTGAATCTCTATTAATAATACAAAGTCCTTAGAATCTATATATTGTTTCATTTATGAATTTGTAGCAAAAATTCTCAAACCAACACATGACATGTATTAGGTTTATATACATTTTTCCTTCAAAAAAATCAGTTTTGTGTGTATAGCTTTATCTTCTCAATTTCCACCCCCAAGCCTGTGAATTTCAATAGTTAGAGTTAGTACCAGGGGTGGGATTCAGAAATTTTAGCAACCGGTTCTCTGCCCGGTTGCTGGATGGGCGTGGCCTAGTTGGCCGCCTGCACCACCGGGGGGGGGTGTTTTCGCCCTTCCCAGACTCCGGAGGCTTTCATCGAGCCTCCAGGAGGACGAAAACAGCCTCCACTGGGCTCCAGAGACTGGAAGAGCGAAAACGGCCTCTCCCGGGTTCCAGAGGCCAGAAACGGGCCCGTTTTTGGACTTCTGGTAGGCCTGTTTTTCGCCCTCCCCAGGCTCTGGAGCTTTCATCGAGCCTCCAGGAGGACGAAAACAGCCTCCACTGGGCTCCAGAGACTGGAAATGGGCCCATTTTTGGACTCCCGGTACTTTGGGTAGACCCGTTTTTTGCCTTCCCCAGGCTCTGGAGGCTTTCCTTGAGCCTCTGGGAGGGCAAAAATGTCCTTTCCTGGGCTCCGGAGGCCAGAAACAGGCCCATTTTCCGAAACTTCTAGTAGGCCCATTTTTCACTCTCCAAGAGCCTCCGCGCGGGCCATGCACTTACCTGGCATCCAAAACAGGCTGCGTGGAGACTCCTGGGAGGGGCAGGGTGGGCGGGGTCAGCCAGTCCTTGCAACTACCGGTTTGGCGAACCAGATTATAATTAACACCTGAACCGATCCGAACTGGCTGAATCTCACCCCTGGTTAGTACTTTGTTCAAAGATTGCTTTGAAGCCTTTATGTCTTTGCTTAGATTTCTTAACTAGAATAAGCAATGAGTAGATACACTCAGATTTCATGTAGCCTATTTCCCCAATTTAGACAAGATATTGAGACCAAAATATCTCTTTGAAACTATTTTCTTATGGTAAAGGCTTTGAAAGAACCTTACCCAGTTGACAGTCACATTAGTAAATTATCCCAGTTTTAGAGATAAAGCAAGCTATCACAAGGATCTGGGTGCATTCATATGGTTTGTGCTAGGTAGTATACAGGGAAAAAGATAAGAATCTGGTTGTACAGGTAGCCCTCAACTTGCAACTATTTGTTTAGTGACCATTCAAAGTTAGAACAGCACTGAAAAGTGACTTAGGGCTGGTTTTCACGCTTATGATCACTGCAGCATCCCCATGGTCATTTCATCAAAATTCAGGCTTTTGGCAACTGGCAATGCATCTGTGACAGTTGCAGTGTCCAAGTGGCCTGTAATCACCAATTGTAACCTTCCCAACCAGCTTCCAAGAAAGTCAATGTGGGAAGCTAGATTCACTTAATAATTGCATGACTCACTAAAAAACTGCAGTGATTCGCTTAACAACTGTGTCAAAAATGTTCATAAAATGGGGCAAAAGTCACTTAACAACTGCCTTGCTTAGCAATAAAAATTTGGGATTCGGTTGTGGTCATAAATTGAGAACTTCCTGCACATGTGAGATTCACATTGTAATTTTAAAACAGAAGTATAGAAAATAATAGCTGTGCTTTTTTCACGAAAATCAAGAATTGCGTTCTAAATTACAATTAGAAATGATCTATTTTCCGTAACTTGGCTACATAGAGAACTTAGACTTTGCAGCTTCCAGTATCTCACCCTTTAATTATTTTCTTGGCCTTATTGTTCCATCACTTCATTTTACTTTTATCTTCATAATTGTATTAAGACAATTTAGTAGCCATATTTTAATTACCATGGGGCATCTTAGTTCATACAAATTATAATTTGGAATGAATTCCAGGTGAATTTTTTCTGTATTTTCATTGTTAGAGAATAGCAATAGCACTTAGACATATATACCGCTTCAGAGTGCTTTACAGCCCTCTCTAAGCAGTTTACAGTCAGCCTATTGCCCCCAACAATCTGAGTCCTCATTTTACCAGCCTTGGAAGGATGAAAGGTTGAGTCAACCTTGAGCCTGGTGGGATCTGAATTGCCAAATTGCAGGCAGCCAACAGTTAACAGAAGTAGCCTGCAGTACTGCACTCTAACCACTGCGTCACTGAGGCTCATGGAGCTCATGAAACTCCTCACAATGGAGTTCTTCTGCAAAATTAGGAAGTATTCTGGTTCAGTAAAACTATAGAATGGTCAGCCTTACCAGGTAGATTAGACAAAAAACATAACCAGAGTTTATTCTACTTTATTGTAAGACTACATTAATAGCCTTTTGCAAATCTGAAAGTACAAATCATCAATTTGTCTGTTTTTACAGGCTGATAACTTAAGAGAAGATTCTTTCTGAGTTTCTTTTCTCTCTCTTTCTCCTATACAGCTATGGGCTCCTTCTCTATTCTTACCTCTTCATTCTTTAGGCAGCACTTTTCCACCCATCTCCCAAGGTTGTTCCCACATACCATCACAAATATAGTTATATTAAACGTATCTATTAAGAGTTCTACTAATATTGGAATGGTCAAGGAGACGATTCCTCCTTCTACCTGCATTTCTTCAAAAGCTGGAAAACTGGAAGACCATTCAAAGAAGCATGAGAAATATAAACAATTGCTGTGAATGTTTTGCACAAAATACAACATCTCTGTAAAGCAGCCACATTTATTTTCAGGCTTCTAAGGAAGTGGGAAAGGAGACATGACTTAAATGAGTCACATGAAAGATGACATTGTCTTAATGAGTCGTTTTGTTAAAGCATCATCTTTTATCATGATCACATGGAGATCTGTTTAAAGGGCTGCCATTCCCTTGCCTTTTGAAGTATCTCTTCAGAAGCATTTCAAAATGACACATAGGTGTACTATGATCCTCTTTCCAAGACCATCTGCTAGATACCAGAATCCTGAATGAGAAAGAATCTTTATGTTCAAGAAATGTCACTGTTTGCATCCCAACAGTTTGCAACTGTTTCAGTCAAGAAAATACTATTTGCTCTTATATGGGTAGTGAAAATTACTGCGGTGTCCTTGTAACTGTTTGCTATCTATAAGAATATTCAAATAGGGAAGTCATTATTTACACCATTCCTCACAATAGGATATTAACGTTCTATGAAGGAATATCTATACCATTAAGACAATATATTTCCATTCCATTTTAGGAATGCAATTCTCCACTGGCAAGCAGTTGGAAATCCATCCTGCTATGGAACGTGGAAGAAAATTCAGCAAGTGGAAGAATGTTCATGCCCTCTTGTACATAGTTTTATTTTTACATAGCAGAGTAAATATATACTTTAATATATTTACCTGAAGTATGAAATCTAGCACTGGACCTATGTAAATATTTTAGGTATTGAATAAATGAGAAATCAATTTTTGACATTACAGTCTTGTATGAATGAATAAAGTTAAATGAACTATATAAAGTTAGATTGGTCTTCCCTGAATTCAGTACTAATAATTATTGTAAAATGCCATTAAAACAGATAAGCCGGATAATCATTTACATAAATCAACTGTAATATGGCATTTGTTCTTTTGAAAAATGTCTGCTTTATTTATAATTGAAAATAAATATTTGAAGTGGAAGTTATTGAGATTAAACCAGAAGTATATTTAGTAACATCACAGTTCATTTTGGGGGGTGGGGGGAGAGAGGGGTGGTGGTGTGTCCCTTTAAATCAGTTTTTGACTCTTGACAACTACCCTGACTACTCCTGAAGTTGCCTTGGCAAGGTTTTTTGGGTAAGTGATTTGCCATTGCCTTCTGCCTAGAGTTGAGAGTGAGTGACCCAGGTGGCTTTGTGCCTAAGGCAGGACTAGAACTCATGCTCTCCTGGTTTTGGAGTTAATGTCTTTGCATTGCATTAATATCTAATCATTGCATCAAACTGGATCCCTCAGCTTCTTAGAAGCCAAATCTAGGACTAAGCCATTGGCAGCCTGTCTGCTCCATGTGAATTAAAAAGATAGCAAGGTTCCATGCATGGTAGGGAAAAAAAATCAGAAGCAGATTGTAGGATAGGACACTAACTGGTATCCAGAGTTGATACTCAGCATTATCATCTAAAAGTCACTGTGATGACTATACTGAAGGACTTTTATCTACGGAATCATTTAGCTTTAAAACATTTTTAATTTCATTCTTAGTACTGCAAGGATCAATCTGGTGCACTCATTATTTTTGGCATCAGTGTCATTGACAACATTACATAACCTCTCCGTGACCAGTTTGCCTTGTTACCTTCTTGGAGGAGGCCTCATGTTATTGGAAGTAGAATATCTAGATTCAGTCTCAGCTTTGTTCCATATAGTATCAACCTTGTGAACTTTCAAGTTTCCTCTTTCTGCTATGTATTCAAAACGGACAGTGATTAAGATGTATGTATGTTTGTGTATATAGGTCTTTGGTTATTCGGGTCTTCTCCCACGTAAAATTGGAGGTTTCTTGGCGACGTTTCGACGAAGTCTCATTCGTCATCTTCAGGCTGGTGTTCTCGGCTTCGTGCTTCCAGGAGCAATGTGAGATCGCAGCTGTCTCTTCCTTTTAACTGATAGTGGGGGTGTGAGCTGATTGGGTGGGGACTTGGCTGTGTTCTGATTGGGTGGAGGTGTGTTCTGATTGGTTAGGGGCTTGGCTGTGCTCTGATTGGATGGGGGGTTGGTTGTGCTCTGATTGGCTAGGGGTGTGTTCTGTTTGGGTGGGGCTTGGTTGTGCTCAGCTTAGTCTGAGTTGTGTATATGTACACACACATATACTTTTTTTGAGAGCAGGCATCAGAACTTCATTCTTAGTATGTGCCAGTATGCTCACAGTAAAAAATGACAATAAAGGTTATCCTATCTTATTTTATCTGAAGGATAACAGATTAACTACCCTTTGCTATTTGAGAATGAATCCCTTGCAAGCTTATAAAAGTAGTGTTATTAGTGATCAAAGCCTCACATCAAATGACAACCAAATCTGTAAAACAAATTGACTTTCGGAAACAAGACCGATATTTAAATAAATGCCTATATTCATGAGATTTTTCAACTCCTATGTAGTTCTTTGGACATTCCTTAAAATAGAAGAGTCGCTGATTAAGAGAAGAAGTTACTTAATATGATTGATCACAAAAAACTATAATATAGCTAACAAAATAAAAATGCAGCACTCTGAATTGAACTTAATAACACAATATATTTGTTAGAATTTCCAGACGTACAGTCTACATTTCACTTCAGTGTTGCCCACAAGTTGAACATAGTGGGTTCATATTTGAATAGTTAACTCAATAAAGTATTGTAGGCAGCCAAATTATCAGTCTCCGAGCCATATAAAAAATATTATGGAAAAAGTTGCAGAAATATTCCTATGTTCTAAAGCATTATTTCTTTGTTAAAGTATTTCTTGCACTGAAAAATTTAGTCTCCCTGTCCTGTTTGCATAGAACAATGAAGATGTCCTTATTAAACAGATCCAACATGGATCTTAAACTTGTCTGTTTAAGACTCTACTTATGTCTTAACTTTGCAGTATTTGTATGATCCTGCAAGATATTACCCTGAATTTCTTACAAGCTCTCCAGAATGAAAGGTTACCATATTTTTCGGAGTATAAGATGCACCGGAGTATAAGACGCACCTTATTTTTTTGGGAGGAAACTAAGAAAAATAGGAAAATAAGAAAAAAGCTGATTGGCAGGTAGATCGGCCTCCCGGAATACCCCCAATCAGCTGTTCCCAGAGGTGAATTTTAGCAACAGATTCCTTGGTTGTAAGCTCTGTGCCTTGCTTTTTTTTCTGCCTCTGAAACTCTGTTTCAGAAAAAACTTTTTTTTCTCCCTCTGAAAGCCTCCGAAACAGCTTCAGAAAAAAACCTCTGAAGCTCTGTTCGGCTTCTTTTCTGAAGCTCCATTTCTGATGCTTTTTTCAGCCTCTGAAACCTGTTTGAGAAGCTGGGCGTAGCTACATTCGGAATATAAGACGCACCCAGATTTTCACCCTTTTTTGGGGGGGTAAAACGGTGTGTCTTACCACTCCAAAAAATACAGTAAATCAATCTAAAGTTGCTTGTCTTAAGCAGATTTATTCAGATGATAACTGGGTAACAGACTTCAATTTAACAACTTATCACCTCTATATTTTCAAGAATCAACGAAGACACCAAAAACTATTTTTAGGAACTATAATTGCATAAAATGGTTCCTGTTTATTCGTTTAAGACATGACCTCATCATCAAAATATAAAGAGGCAAATAATAGGCTGAGTATCTGAGGAAAAAACAATTTAGGCCAAGCCTAACTTAACTAAAGTTCTCCATCTGTCTTTTAACATAACATTGGTTCTATTATTAAAATCATAATTCTGAAGAATTTTCATCCAGTTTCCAACTCCAAACTTCTGTACACCATTCTTTAATTTCTGGTCTTCTTCCCACTTCCATGGCTATAGAAAATTAAAATAAGGTATTATAACATGTATCTTTTCAAGCACTTTAATTATTAGCCTAATTAGCAATTGCTGCAAGAACATATTTCTATTAACTCTCATTCTTGAAAGCACAATTAAAGCCTATAGCATTTGCATTTTACAAGAAATCAGCATTTTAAGAACTATTTCTTCTATTTCCATTATAAAGAATAAAAAGCTTTCTGAAAAGCAAATGATTATTTCAGATATGAGAATTACAGGGAAAAATAGAAATTACTTTTATTCTAAACACAAACACACACATCTATTCATATTTATAAAACAGCCACTTGCATCTTATAGCAATATTGTTTTCTTAAGCTACAGCAATATCTTGATTTCTGTATGTATCATAAGTCTTATCTCCAATATCAATGTAGTGATTGTCATGATTTTTTAAAATTACAATTTGAGTTGCAAACCTGTTACACTGTATCAAAATACAGACTCCAATATAGAGATTATTTGAAAGGAGCAGGACAAAGAAGCAGAAGACTACAAAGATCACTGCTTATATGCATTTAGATTTGCATTATAGAATGGAAACATTAACATTTTTCTGAACAGAGTTCTCTTGCATATGTATTAGCAAGTTCAATTTCCTTGGAATATCATATCATTAACACCAAAGAACTTGGGACAGTTGAAATAGAAAGCTGATAAAAGCCAGAGACAACCAGTTTCCAAAATCTGAGGGGCCAAACCCACTGACAAATATTTGTATTTTGTGGGTCTGAATATATGAGAATTATGTAACAGCAGAAATTCTTTCCTTTTCCTTTTGCTAACCAGCTGTAACAGAAGTGCCAAATAAGAAGGCACCTTGGCTTCTTCACTGATAATTGGCTAGATATACACTATTATGATATACTATAGACACAACCTTTTGGGCAACATGCAAAGATCACAGTTTCAATAGCATGTAGATCATTTATGGAGTGACTTTAGATATGTTGGATTTTAATTCCAATAAACCAAGCCAACAGTGTTCAGGCATATTAGCTGTGTATTATACAAATTGAATTTCCAGACATTTGGAACAATTGGGGAAGGTTACCTTCTACCACTGTATTTTCTGTCCTTTATTAAATTTCACCGTTTTAGATTTTATTTTTATGTCCTACTTGTATATTAGCCTATTTTTTTTACTGCAAACCTCCCCCAAAATTTGTATTATTAAGAAATACCTGCATGTAAAGAAGTAAATAAATATGAAAATATGAACATTCTGCATGGCCATGCTGGATTGCAAATAACAAAGTACTTTTATCTTGTCGGATCTTGTATGTATCAGACCATACTTACAGACAGGCAGTCTTCTTGGGCAAGCAGAGAAATATTTTGGAAAAATGCTGTTTCTTTGGTTAATCTCACTAATATTATTTTATATTAATACATTATTTTGAACCTTTCTTGTTTATACCTTTTTCTTCTGACAAGCTGGCAGAAATTCATCTTGTAGAGCATCTGTAGTATTTTTCAGATTTTTTTTACCTGGTTCAGAAAAATAATACAAACACCTCTTTTGAACCCTGAAATACTGTGCATTTTTTATGGATAACTACCGTATTTTTCGGTGTCTAAGACGCACTTCCGTCCCCCCCAAAGTGGGTGGAAATGTCTGTGAGTCTTACAGAGTGAATGTTACTGAAGCCCCGCCCATCCACCCACCATTCAGCCTCTGCCTCCCAGCAATTTGCCTCCTTGCAGCAAACAGCCTGGTCAGTTTCAGCACAGCCTGATTTAGCATGAGCAGCTGATTAGCGGTTGGATCTGCCTCCCAGAATACCGTAATCAGCTATTCCAGGCTGTAGGGATCACCACTCCCCATCGCCTCTGCCACCTATCGCCGCTTCTGCGCATCCCATTTTCAGCCCGTCCCAGGCATCGGGGATAGGCATCGGTGGCAATCCCCACTGCCTGGAACGGGCCAAAAACGGGATGTGCAGAGGCCAAAAATGGGGCATGCAGAGGCGGCAATAGGTGGTGGCAGTAATGGGAGGCGATGGACGGTGGCTATCTCCACAGCCTAGAACAGCTGATAGGTGGTATTCCGGGAGACCGATCCAATCGCCAATCAGCTGCTTGTGCTAAATCAAGCTGTGCTGAAGCTGACCAGGTTGTTTGCTGTTTGCTTGCAAGGAGGCAAATTCTGGGAGGCAGAGGCATATTTTTTTCTTGTTTTCCTCCCCAAAAGCTAGGTGTGTCTTATAGTCCAAAGCGTCTTATAGTCTGAAAAATATGGTAATTAAACTCACTTAATTAGGGGACTAGCAGCAGGACTGCAACATATAAAACAAATAGAATAAAGTAAATCAATAAAAAATAAAACAAAGGGATATCATTTTTAAGAGGGAAAAAGAAAGCCTATTAAAGAATGTTCTGAATAAAGATATGTCGTGTATTAGATTTAAGATTCAAAGGTGTATGGAGATTAGCCCAAATAAAGCTGAACCTAGTCAACATAAACCTAGTCAAGCACAAAGACTGCCAAGCTAAAAGAATGATCATTGATACCTTGGTCTATATTTTGCTTTCAATGAGCGACTATTTTTTTAAGTGAAAGGTGGGACTCTGAAGCATGGATTGTGGGGAAGGAAATCTGATTCCCCTCATATTTCCAATATATCCATCCTGTTCAGATATATTGAAATTACGTAGTACTTACATTGAAGAGTTTTTCGTTTTGTATTTTGGGGCTTGCGGGAAATCGGATTCTGCCTTGGTTTCCAAAATGATTGACCAGGTAAAGAACAGGAATGTTTATGTAATCTATAAGAGAATGAAAGAAAGGAGATATGATAGAGAACATCTATATGGATGGTGAAACTTGCATTATATCATTCTTTGTTAAATTCCACTATCCGCCTACATTTCTAACATATAATACATTAAAAAAATTAACTAGGAAAAGAGTCATTTATTTACCAGAATATGTTAAAGCTGAAAAGAAAACTTTGCAACCTTCAAGATAACTAATGTTGATATAAAACTAGCGAATTCCAAGGAAAGTCATACTTTAACACGGTGTTTGGTGTGTTTTCCAAATGATTTTCTTTGTTTGTTTCAACTGTACTGTCGCATTGTATGGGTACCATTATGTTTTCTGAACTTTTTGTTTTCACCTCTTTTGTAGCTTCCTGTAAAACAGCAATGTTTACTTAAGAAATACTACTTTTCATATCTTTCCCAGTCTTCCTAAAACACTTTTTACCATATACTGCTAGAAAGAAATTAAAACACGAGATTAATAAAAATGTAAAATGAAGACAGCAATATAATTAACAGCTAGAGTTGTGTAATGCTTCAGTTCAGAAGAGATGTAATGAATCAGAGACAAGTCCTGTGTTCCTGCTACCTCAATAAGCTCTTGTAAATCATAACCAGAGCAGGGCAAAGCCTAATAACTGTAGATTCAGACCAATAGTCAAGATGAATCAGCCATCACACACTTCTGCAGTATGATATTTATTCAAGTAGGAAATAATTAGATTTTCTCGTTCCATTATTCCCCCTTCCAAAATTAATAACCACTTTAATGAGGTTTTTTATGTAGGTAGGAATTTATAACTTCCTGGATCTAGCTACAACTGTTTACCAGATATGAAGAGCAAGGGGCAAGCAAAAATGGTTGGCTACATTCAATCAACACATCAGGTGGGAACTGAAAGTAATGCAAAGAAAGCCTCAGAAGATAAGAATCTGGATGTATCTATTGATTGAATCACTAGAATCACTAATTTTGCCCTGCAGGCATCTCTAAAGTCCAGGCAGTACAGAGACACAAGTAATCCTTTAAATAATTCCATCCTAGTTACAAATTGTTGCAATGCTATGCATTTGGTCTATTGCACCTATTATTCTGATGTTATTTAAAATTTGGTAGTTTGTATAGTATTACAGTTTTAACAATTGGAATGTTTTCCAATATTTTCCAATATTTTAATGAGTAAGACATTCAGTCACTTATAAATATACAATGTTAATTGTATAATTAACATTTATATAATTGAATTAGTATACATTACTTTTATTCTATTTTACTATGGTTTTCAACATACCTTCATTAAAAAATTGTTGGTTTCTTTTTTCAAGAAAATATTGATATAAGTTTTAATTCTCTCAGTCAAAAGATTAAAACTGAAAAATTGAAGAAATGGATGATATGGATCTTTTTGTTTTGATACTGCAGAAAGCTTCATTCTTAAAGGCTACAGGAAAAGAAAGTCAGAATACAATAAATATTACATACTGTGCTTCTACAGTAATCCTGCCATATTTTAAAAGAAGCAGAATATTAGTTTTGCCTCCAGAAACCAAAATGTAGGAAATTAAATCTTTATTATTCCATATAAATAATATAATACAATATAAGTGGTAAGTACATGCAAATTATCTTTCCTAATAATAACAAATTCACTTTTGTTAGATTTTGTAAAAGTTTTCAGCATTTCTTTATAATTTTCACACAACTGTGCACAGATAAGATGATACAACAATAGTAATAGCTTCTTTAGTTCAGGGTTCTCAATTTTCTTTAGTCAAACTCCTGGGCAACCAAAGCAATGCATCTCATGCCAAACATCCTCCTCTAATCTTCCTTTACATTCCTTCATTTTTAAATACCCACATCTCAATTAAACATCCCACCCTACATATATCATGATTTGTATTAATTTCTGTTTTTCTTTCTGCCTTTAAGTTTATTTCCTCCAACTAGTTTTCCAACCCAGCAATAAATATATGGTGTCACTTTCCAAGATTTTATAGCAACGAAGCAGTAAATTATACAACGTACAGTAACTAAATATAATGATCTGACAAAAAACTTATGCCAATGTCACCAGTATGAATTTTTCCTTTTTATTTTATTAAAAATATTTATATGGCTGCCCAACTCACACAGGGTGACTCCAGGTGTTTACAAGATTAAAAATCCACAATCTAATTTCCTTAAAACTTTAATAGAATTGGGTGAAGTTTAGATGGCAGTAAAATAATATTTGAAATTATTACAGAGAAATTGAATAGGCAAGAAGACATGAAATTGGATCAGAAACCTTAACTTGGTAAGGTATGACTATTGAAAATTCCTGGAGGTTTTAATGTCTGTTTTAACATTAATAGAATAGAGGATAACTTTATTTTTGACACTTTTCATAGATGGATCGATCAAAAGGCTGTTTGGTGTACTGTAACTAGTCAGTAAAGCTAAAATTTTAGGGTTTTTTACTATTAGACATTACTGAAAATAGCTGCATTCAGTGTGCCAGAAATGTAACGCATCTATTTTACTGTCCAAAATGTAACAGATAAAACAGTGAACATATTGCAGAATTATCTGCAATATTAAAATACTTTTAATCACTGATTTCAGTAATACATCCTGAAGGTCACAAAACCAGGTTGGGGGCACAGGTTGCTCGCCCAAAGTTTAATGACTTCATAGATTGTAAATTAGCAATGACTAGAACAGAGTAAACCCTGAAAGTTGTTTTATTAGCTCAGTAAATCTGCACATTAATCATTTACAAATATCACATGCATTTTTATTTTGTAAGGCTTCAGAACAATTGTCTAATTTAATTCAATATTGAACATACTACCTCATTGCAGGAAGATTCTGGAAAAAGTCTTTCTATCACTTCTGCAGCCTCCTGAAAATATCCTTTTTCCATATATATAGCCACTGCCTACAAAGAGACAACTTTTAAGTAACGACTTCCATTCTTTATAATAAATCTGGGAACAAGAAAACTTATGCAATTTAATGTTATGATCAACTCTACTTTTTTCTGTAGCAACTCAACTTGATGTATGGTGCCAAAGAGCATTTACTCTGTTCTTCCCGTTCAGCACAATGGAGGCATCCATCATCCAAATAAATGTTTCACTAATTCCATTAACTGGTACGGAGGACAGGAAAATCTCCTCCCTGCTACTACTAAGAATTCTTACAGACAGGATCATTTGTTGGAGACAGCTTTATCCTTTCCCTGCCTGATTTTAAGTGTGGATATAGGAGTTTCCACATGTAAAATGAATTAAGCAATATTGACAATGAATCGGAAAAAAGAAGCATGTTTGGCCTATGGAATGAGGCAGACTATGACAGCTGCTACTCCTGCATGTCCAGCTGCCTTAGTGTAATAACTGGAACTGATCCTGGGAGTATCTTATTCAACACTTTCATTTCCCATATTTCCCTTGTGCTATTCTCTCCTATGCTTTTTGGCTATCCAACATGACTAATCCAAGTGCAGAACTCTGCTCTTCTTTTCCACAACTGGATAGAGCTTCTAAGTAATCTTTTTGTTCATTTATGATGCCAGACTATAAATGGTCATGAGATTTCATGCTGTTGCCAATTAACTGTAAACTCATGTAAATGTTTAAATTCCTAAGTGAATTTTGAAGATGCAACGATGGATTTGATGAAAACAAAGAATTATATTTTGTATTTTGTGAATGGTACAGTTTCCATGGAAATTACTGTGGGGATAGCCTACACATAGTGATTGTTTTGAAGTAGTTTCTAACATAGGGGGAAAAAAACTTAAAATATTAAACATTGTCCGTCCTATCTCAAATGGCATGACCATTTTGATCTGACCCATGAGAAATCACGAACAATTTATAGAATATATTGTAGATCAATATATTCAAACAAACCTGAATCTGAATTAAGTACTTGATATCTTTCTGCAATTTATCTTGTTTGCTTTGTGTTTTTAGGAATGAAATCCAAACCGACAAAGCATTTTCCAGTGGTGAAAGTCTTTGGTCATCTCCAAAATCAGAATCTTAAGAGAAATAAGAAGAAGTAAAAATAGCAGTGTAGTATTTTAAAGATCAAAAAATTAAACTTCCATATAGAAAAAATACAGTCATCATATTAGAAGTCAATTTCTTCCTTTGATTTTTGGTTCACAGAAGAAAGCTTGCTAAATAGAGAGCAACTATTCAACTGAGGTAGTTAGGGAGATGATTGAACAATCTTAGGAAATCTCTGGTTTAAAAAGTTATCCTCAGGTCCTTTTTAATACCTTGTTATACAGAGCCTGGTCAAATGCCAAGCCAAACTGTGGATATAATTTAGAGAGGGAGCAAATCAAATAGCAGAGAATAAAAGATCCTTTAAATTTTATTTTGCTACTCATTGTTAACAGTATTTGAAAAACTACAATAAACTATCTAGGGTCCTCAGTTCAGAACAATAGTTCTAAACAAGATATGGGCTTATGCCTGATTAAAGACAACATGCATTATTTTACAAGATTAGCCCTACAACTCTCTATATTATTTTTCTTTGAGCTAGGAATTCCAGAACCACAGTAGTCTATTCAAGTAATCAGTATAAAATAATTTTTGTAACTTTTATTGAAAATGAGGAATTTAGCAATAGCAATCACTATATCAAAATCATACCATACTGTGCTCAAGACTGTAATTCCTTAAGACACAGAGAACTATGATATACAATCACATCAAGAACTAATGCCTAATCTCTAGCCAAAAATATATGTAGGTTAGCTCCTTCATCTTTTGCCCCTATGATATGTTCCATTGACATCAAATGTAGACTTCTTGGACTAGGTTTATGAGTGCACAGTATTTGTGGAGTTTATATAAAGTTACTGGTTAAGTAGTAAGTTGGCAAGATATCCTCAGTATTAGCCTATCAAGATTAAGGACAACTTGTTTACAAATACTAAAATATGCTGCTGACTTGAAGCTGCCACTAGTACAGATAATCGTCATTGCTGAGCATAAGAACACAAAGCCATATTTCAGAAAACGTGGTTTGTTGCAATCAACTTACCAAATTTTCAGACCTCTTTTGCTTTTATTAACAGTGGTTATTTCTAATAATTTTAGTTTATATTTTAACAATTAAAGATAAATGACAGATACAAATGTGTAGACTATGTGTGTATACATTTTTGCAAGAGTTATTTTTTAGTTAAAAGAACATGTTTTTCTATAAATAAGCATAAGTTAGCATTTGATTGCCAGCATCTAATTAAGAATTCTCTCCAAAGCCAAAACATTAAAATGTTTTACCAAATATTTTTCCTTCCGCAATATATGTCAACAGCTGACAGAGGCACACTGTTTCCCTTTGATGAGGTTCTATTTTGTGCAACCCTTTAATAACAGCTGAAAAAAGAAAGCAGACATATCAGTTATGATTTTGTTCCTACAGTGCCACTGTGTGGTTATCAGTAATCTTGCCTATAATACTAAACAGAATTGACTCCCAAATAATTGTATTTAAGATTGAAACATTTCAGAGCAGTTTTATACTGAATAGTTTATACTTATGCTAGTTAGTAAACAATTAACCCATCTGTCCCCCAATGTGACAATTTGAAATACCGGTAGTTATTTTGGTCCCTTAGACACTACTGCTTTGTACTATAAATCACTAATGAACATCAATGAAGAGAGAAAATAGAACTCTTCAAATATTTGTTATTCTGTAACGTTCTGTAATGCTGTGCAAGTCCTATGGACTCCAAGATGATCAAACTGGTCAGTCCCAGTGGAGATCAATCCTGACTGCTCTTTAGAAGGATCCTGAAGATGAAACTCAAATACTTTGGCCACCTAATGAGATGGAAGGACTCACTGGAGAAGAGCCTAATGAGGACAAAAGAAGAAGGGGACGACAGAGAACGAGGTGGCTGGATGGAGTCACTGAAGCAGTGGCATGAGCTTAAATGGACTCCAGAGGATGGTAGAAGCCAGGAAGGCTGGAGAACGTTGCCCATGGGGTCGCAATGGGTTGGACACAACTTCGCAACTAACAACAAATGTTCCATTAAGAAACACCTCCAAAATTACAAATATTCAAAAGAAATGACTGTGACTAAAAAAAAAAAGGATTTCTCCATTGTAATTGAAAGGTGTCCGGGAGAAAAGGGTTGATGGATTGTTGACAGCTGCCATTGTATGAGATTGGCAGCCACATATATAAAGTGGCTCCAAGAAACATTTCTTTTTAAAGGCAGCGTGTATATAACTAAATCAAGCGAAGAAGTGTAAAAAAGCGTCACCACCACAAGAAAAGAAATGCAGCTGTTGAACGTCTGCCTGGCAGAACCACTGCCCTAGTTGTAGAGAAAGCCAAACAAGCAATTTCTATAGCAGAGGTCTTCAAACTTGGCAGCTTTAAGACTTGTGGACTTCAACTCCCAGAATTCTCCAGCCAGCTAGCTGGCTGGAGAATTCTGGGAGTTGAAGTCCACAAGTCTTAAAGCTGCCAAGTTTGAAGACCTCTGTTCTATAGTCTGCTGAGCCATGCATTATGGGCTTGGGGCACCAGCAAAGGGGCCACAACTCAGCCTCCCACATCCCGCCAAACTGCCAATTTACCCAGAGCCAAGTCTCTGCTCCTCTCGAAGTCGATCCGGTTCCCCTCGCAAAAATGGCGGCACAGGCAGCGGCAGGCAAAATCCAGCATCCATCCAGCGGCTATCGACTCCACTTCAGCGAAGAGGTCCGAAGAACTACCCTCTGAGGCGCCACAATCCACAAAGTCCGCCCGCGCCGGCGTCCGAGATACGGACGTGGCGTCGCTCGCGACAGTTAAATCACTTGCCTGCTCCATTTTCAAATCTCGCACCCCGCTTTTCCAAACGCCGCCATTTATGACAACGGTCCTTGCCGCGAAGGGCTCCACTCTTGGCCACGCCCTCCTTCCGAGCTATTGGCCGAGCGGGTTCCCCCTTTCTCTCTTGTCACGTGCCTTGTTCGCGCTTCTCCCTCTGTGGAGAAGGAGAAATACGGAGCGTTCTCTGAGTCCCGCTTGCAAGATTCTGTTGCGGGGAGAGTGGAAGCTGCAAGGATCGCACGACCAGCTCGGCTTAAATCTCTGCCTCTTTTCCCGCATTAAACATTTGTAATTCGTGATGCCTGTCCCATCGCAGAAATGAAACGCGAAAGTTTACACTAGTGTTTTGCAAGTTTGACATTTTTAAGATATGTGGACTTCACTTCCCAGAATTCTCCAACCCAGTCTGCTGCTGACTGAGGCATTCTGGGAAGTGAAGTCCACACAGCTTAGAATCATAGGGCTGGAAGGGATTTAGGAGGTCTTGTAGTTTAACTCTCTGCCAAGGCAGGAATCCTTATACCAGGGATGGGCAACTATGGCCCTTTTATGACTTGTGGACTTCAACTCCCAGAATTCCTGAGCCAGCCATGTTAGCTCAGGAATTCTGGGAACTGAAGTCCACAAGTCATAAAAGGGCCATAGGTGCCCACCTCTGGCTTTTACCATCCTGGACAAATGATTGTCTAATCTTTTCTTGAAAACCTCCAGGAATGAACACCTGCAACTCTGGGAAGCAAGCTGTTCCAGTGTTGTTGTTGCTGTTTTAACTGTCAGGAAATTCCTCTTAGTTCCAGGTTGAATCTTCTTCTGACCAGCTTCCAGCCTTGCTTCTTCTCCTGCCCTTAAGGGCTATGGAGAATAAATCGACCCCCTCTTCCCTGTTACAGCTCTTCAAGTATTGGAAGACATGATGAAAAATGCTGGTTTACACTACATGCATGCCCCCTTCGTTTCTTAAATTGGTTTATCTTTGCTTCTAACATAGTGTATACCGTGATCTCCACGTGCCCATTTCTAATCCCTACCTTGAGAAGGCTTGATGGAAGGGACTGGCTTAAAATCATAAAATGAACGATAATCCTGAAAGTTTGGCAAGTAAATCCTTTTGTTTGGGAATAGAGTGAGTTATAAACTAGCCAGCTTCAGATCATTTTAGCGACCTGTGTGAATTTAGCCTGTTGTCTAGTAGAAGGTTTGGTGTGTCATGAGAATCGGTACACGGGGTTGGGTAAATCATGTAAAATGAACCGAGGAGGCACTACGAGTGCAGTAAGCCCGTCGATGGAAAGAGCAACGACTTGATCTCAGTTCAAATATTCCTCATGATGCTGTGGAAAGCGTAAATAATTCAGGAAGAAGCGGACACGAGAGGAGCATAATTGCCCTTCCTGAAGACATTACAGCCTTTTAATGATGAATGTTCTCTTACTTTTGCGCCGGCGGGATGGGGGCATGAAGGTGGTCTCGCGTTAAACTTTCCTTTTTTTGAGGGAATTGCAGAAAGAAATCGCGGTAGAGCGAGTCAACGGGCGGAGAAGCTCTTTGAAAGTCTGATCCTGGGCGAGGCTGAATTAAGATCACACAAAGAGCTGAAATGCGTGGAAAATGTGAGTGCACCTAGAGAAGTCGGAAAGATGTCGCGGCATCCTATTTGGTCCCACGATTTTCCTTACTGGAGATTGTGTCAGCGATGCTGAGTGTGCTAAGAGCTGTAAATAATTATTAAGCGCAAAGGATAAATGGACTATCAATGTACTCATCCAGTGGAAATTCCACTATGTCCAATGACTGTCATTCTAATAAATGTTTAATTTTAATCCATAAAGTAAAGGTTCCCCTGGGACGGGGGTGGGCAAATGTGGCTCTTTTACAACCTGTGTCCACAAGTTGTAAAAGAGCCACATTTGCCCACCCCTGCCCTGGCACATATGTGCTAGTCATTCCAGACTCTAGGGGGCGGTGCTCATCTCCGTTTCAAAGCCGAAGAGCCAGTGCTGTCCGAAGACGTCTCCGTGGTCATGTGGCCGGCATAAACGCCAAAGGCGCACGGAATGCTGTTACCTTTCCACCAAAGGTGGTCCCTATTTTTCTACTTGCATTTTTTACGTGCTTTCAAACTGCTAGGTTGGCAGAAGCTGGGACAAATAACGGGAGCTCACCCCGTTAAGCAGCACTAGGGATTCGAACCGCTGAACTGCCGACCTTTCGATCTACAAGCTCAGCGTCTTAGCCACTGAGCCACCACGTCCCTCTCTTAATCCATAGCATGGTCTTATTCTGAACTTTTTTAGCAATGTTGCCCTTTGCTCAGTCAAGATTAGCAACCTCTTTCAATAGTTGATTACTATATGAACAATAGCACCATTTATTTAGAGAGAAGTTTTAATAGTTTGAAAGTACAGTATACTCTCTTCAGGTTCATTACAAAGTGATTCCTTAGGAATCCTACGATTCAATAAAGTTTTTCTTTTCTATTATTTAATAACATCTTTCTTTCCTAAGGCTTCCCAAGGCTCTGTGTGCTCTATGCTTTTGTCTTTTCTTTTTCTTCTTCTTATTGGAAGGAACCCTATTCTTTATAATGTTATGATTTCACTATAAGTTTCATAATATTTTCAAGAGATGAAAATTGGCAAGGACACCAATTCTCTACTTGCCTGTGTGCCTTTTTCTGACAACCACATCTCTATTCCTAAACTTGGAAATAAGATGAATAAATGAAATATTTTTTGTGTAGGAAGAGAATGTTTAAAAAAACCCCAATGGTTAGGCTGCATAACAGCTAATGCAACTGGGGTTGTTTGTGGAAAATAAGAGGCAGAAGTATTTGGTATATAATGTATATACCATATAATAATGTATATACCATTATGTAATGGTATATAATTATAATAATATAATATAATGGTTGCTTATAGTTGGCAATTGAGACTGGGAACTCTGTCTATAAGTGATGCAGTTGTAATGCATGAGGTCATGTGACTGCCAGTTTATGTCAGCAGTTCTGGCAGCCCAAGTTGCTGTTGTCTGATGGATCCTGCATGGGCACAGTCATGTGATCACTATTTGCAACCCTCCTGCTGGCTTCCTTGTTGGCTTGGCTTGTCGTAAGTCTGCAGTGAAGGATGCAATTGCTGACCAACCATCACTTGGTTATGGCATACCGCAATGTCATAATTGTGAGCCAGTTGCCAAGTGTACAAATTGTGATCATGTGAACACAGGAGTGCTGCAACAACTTCAAGTCTGAAGACCCAACATAAGTTCCCTTTTTCAGTGCCATTGTAACTTTGAACAGTCACTGAACAAGTGGACATTAAAGAGGACTATCTGGATATTAAAAAGGCAGGATAGCAATATAATAATAATATTTTATTTTAGTAAAAATGTTCAACATCTTAATTTTTCAGTATTAAAAAGCCTGTTTTAGGAAATCTACATTGTAGCCATTTTTTAAGTAAAATAAAATAAAAAACATGAAAACATTGTTATTTTACAATTGCTCTGTGTCTTCCACCATTTCTTCTTTGTGGTCTCTCATACAGATTAGATTAGCTTCATAATCTCTGTCATTTTTTTATACTTCAGTTAGTATTTATTTATTGAATTGTTTTTCTATAAATATAGTAAATAGTATTTGCTTTTCATTATGAGCCATTTACTTGCCACAAACATGTTGATATATATTCTGCTTCATACACATGTTTTTCCCTATGTACTGATCTAATAAAATGTTTAGGGTCAGGTGTACTTAAACCTGAGAAACAAACAAACAGCCGTGGGACTAAAAATCATGAATACTTGCTTTTTGTATAAAAAGTGATTACTGAGCATTCCTACTTAATAGACAAAAGCAGTAAATCTGGAGAACGTAAAAAAACAGACTCAGATGCACAGAATAATCCTGTACATTACTCAGAAGACACCCCAGTTGACTTAAATTTCTATCAAGGTTTTCTACCATAAACAAAAGTGTTAGGAATTTGTTTGTTTATTTATTTAATAATTGTATATGGTTCCCTATTTCATGAGTCTGGTAGTAACAGTTAAACAGAATAAAAACATAATAAAACAACAGAAGTAACATAAAATAACATAGCAGCTGTGAACGTAACCATGACAGAAAAGAAAACACTACCATTATACATATAACTTTTCTGATCCATTGAAGAGGAAAATAGGTGTCTTGGCAACTGAACAGTTTAGCAAATCCCATTAAAATATTACCATGGTTTCAGTAGAGGAAATAATAGGACAAGGATACTGCATACTAGAAAATTTTATTATTTTGTAACCATTATAAGTACAAATGTAAAGAAAATTTAGCACCAAAGTGATTTAAGATATTTTCAAGCCCTACCTTGATGTCATTGTTTTTACTCCACATATTCTTCTGTAAAAATCCAACTGTAACAGTACCCAAGTGATTTATTGTCATATAAAGATGATACAAATAAATGAGTATGGATCAATACATGAAAACAAAAAAAGAATTGAACATTTGCTGTTCAATTATAGTTAATTGAGTGTTATATATTGGTTGAAATGGCCTAGTTAAAATGATTTGGGGTTGTGATTTCAGGGGGCTATATGGGTAGCTTTGGTGAGGAAACAACTTCAAGTAGCACATACAGTGAAGTCCTTCCCTCCAAAATGAAGGATAACGTTTGCACCCCATGCACAGGAATTATGCCTGGAGCAGCTATTCTGCTGAATTTACAGGGGGAACTTACATCTCCTGTTTGAGGAGTTGACGAAGCTGCCTCCAACACAAGATCAAAACATTTCTTTTACTCCATTTACAGATAGTCCTTGACTTACAACCATTCATTTAATGATGGTTCAAAGCTACAGCAGCCTTGGAAAAAGAGACTTATGACCTGTACTCATACTTACAACAGTTGCATCACTCCCATGATCACATAATTGCAATTCAGGCACTTGGCAACCGGCTGTCATTTATGACTAGTTTCAGTATCCTATAGCCAGATGACCATGATTTGCAACCCTTTTTTACCAATTTCCAGCAAAAAAAAAAAAAAACAAAAACCATTAGGGAAGCTGAATTTGCTT